ATTTGTAAGTCTAATGTTGTACACGACAAGATCTGTGACTGTTTGGTATTTTTCACTTTAATTAGTGACATTTCCTGTATAAGTTGATCTCACTTCCGTTCGTTAATCGAGGTATATAAACCGTTCATAAATTGTAACAGTAAGCTCTTTAAGGGTAATTAATTTGACAAAGCGGTCAACATTTTAGTACGATGTTTGGATTTATGTGAGGTGTATATAATATATATTTTAACATTTTGTAATATGGTAAAAATATACTAAAAGGTAAATGGTTAGAGATAATAGCTTGTTAAAATTAATTTCGCGAAAATAACCCGACCTCAATGAAATGGCGATAATCCTTATCGCGTGCACTCCTTTTCATTATACACGTCTAAACACACTGATAATATAGTTCGAGAAGGTTGGTAGCAGTGGCGCGATATTTGTTGGCTGATTAGATTGAACGGGAGGTGAGATTCAATGGGCCACGGCAGGTATTGTTGTGCCAACTTGATAAAAGAGTTTCCCGCCATGGAGCACACAAAGCGCCAACTTCCCGCCATAATCGACTGCCTCAGCAAACTTGAGTTCCGCTTTGCCGTAAACACTAAACTCTCTTACAAGATGATCCAATTGGAACAATGGTTATTAACGTGGTGGATAGGATGTGTTCAACAGAACTTCCCTTTGTGTTGTGTAAAATTACGTCACTTGTAACAATTATGAGCAGATGTGACACAATTTATATTTTCCAATCGTTTGTAATACTGTACTCATGCAGGGACAAGACGTGTTTGAAAGTTGATTCGCCCACAAAGGTTTTTTTACAAAGACGTTTAATGACAGCCGCAAAGACGAGCCGAGTCGCCGATTTAATCGCGACCGGATGTGCTGGCTCAGCTCACTTCCGGAAACGGCCTTCGCAATAAATAACACCTGAAGGGGTTGGGGTTCGACGGTTAGCGCGCTTTGCACACATGGGCGCATGGGCCTGGCAGCGCGCTCTCCCTGGCTGCGGCCTGCTCATCAACTAAACATCATCTGTTATCAAAGTATGTTCAAGGTTAGCCACAGTAGCTTTTACCAATGACTAGCCTCGGTTGTCGTTGTCAGCCACGGACTTTCCCTGATAGTTTCGTGCTGGGCTGGTGTTGGTATGTGACATGTGTAATTCTCAGTGCAAATTAACACAGACGAACCTCGTCTTGTGAAAGTAGGACAAGTTACGGAGTACAAAGTCGCCCACTTTTGTCACAAACTTGTCCCAGACTTGGCAAACGCATAATATGATATTTCGTCAAAATCGGATCATTTTTGCTCGAATCAAATAGGTTTTTGGTAGTAAGTGACATCAGTGTTGTAGTCATATGTCAGATGTGTGTTCTTGTGTTGTAGCATTGACTATTTTGTAGTCAGATCCTTGGCTAAACAAGATTAGTGGAATTATACAGCACAACGAAAAATCCGAGCAACACGTGCTAGTTTTAGCACATTTTAGAAATATATATGATTTTGACAGTATTGGAAAACACTTAAAAACCCAGAGTAACTTATTCTAATTATAAATCAAGCATTTGTCGTATCATCGACTATCCTAACACCTAAACTTTTAAACTGCGAAAAGCGACGTTAACCAAAGATAAAAAGCTCAATATAAAGTGACGAAGTGGAAGACACGAGAATTCGCGACGACTGCATCTGTTCTATCCATCGCTGTTTTCTGTTCGAATTTAATTCGGTGCGACATTCTAATGGCCCTTAGAAAGCACTTCGTCTGTCCCATCTCACAGATTCCATTTTGAATATTTCCATTTTTAATTCAAATCTTAAATCGTTCGCTAGTATTTCAAAGTAAACATTTATATTTATTTTAGAAACTATAGTACTGTAATCTGTTATTTATATTGTATTTGGAGCGCTTATGGACACTTCTGGATAATTACATTTTTAAAGGATAATAACTTTAATCTGCCTAAAAATGTAGTTATGTTCGGTTATTGTTAGGAACAAAAAGAGCCTTTGATTTAAGGTTGACCTTGACCACAGTAAGCCCAACATCGAAACGTGGAAATCTGAAAGCCAAAAGAGTGTGTCTTGGAGTAGAACTGCTTTGCAATTGTATGCTTGCAGTATCTACAACACTACAAAAAATTAAATTATTTTGTTGTTTTTTATCTAGGCCTATACAAATCAAATCAATAATGCAAGTTTTCCCGTCATGCATCATCAAACTGTCTGTCCGATCAGTGGGGAAATTGATCTTATCTCCAATTCAATTCCCGATCTTAAGATTGCATTGGGCTCTGCTATCCCAGGCTTTTAAAGTTACTGGATTAAGCTGTAGAGTTGTTTTAGTAATAATTTGAATCTACTTTACACCGTTGATTAAATACTCAGATTTAATTAACAAAGGCGGATAAAATGGTTCGATAACGTATTCTTCACAAGATATGTATATAGTTATTTGTGCAACTAGTGAGCAAAGTGAGCAATTGCCTCACTCGAGTTACCATAGAACTACAGTTCTATGGGCCTTACGCGCCTTACACGAACCGTAGGCGAGTGAAGAATGCTTTCTCGAGTGAGGCGATTGCACGTTGCACTCGAGTTGCACATTATATTTTTCCTACAGTTACCATAAAACAAATAAATTGGTAAAGAAACGCGCCTTCACGTTGCAAATCTGGAGTGAGACAAAGTAATTAGAGTGATGAGCGAATTGGCCACTTTGCTTTCTCAAATCAGAGAGAACATGTACATTGTTAGGTAACTGTAGGAAAGAGTTATTTTTGTATGAATGGAATAATTTATGACACCCTCAGTGGCAGTTTTAGGGTTGGATCAACGCGTTGGTCTAGATTCACCCATACTTACACTTTTCAATATTAGGTCTTTAGGGAACACTTATTACCAGCATCTAAGTGGGTTTATTTAACTCATATGGAACACCCGATACTTTATCTGGACCATTTCAATGCAGTATATATTTTTTTGTGGAAATTAATTTAAGTAAATATTAGCATTATACTCAATGATATTAGTCTTCTAAGTTTTTGTGCGGTTTCATAATAAACGTTACAACACGTCTATCGTATCGTATTGTATCTAAGCACTTGTCTAGATTCAACTACTATAGGTCTATACATTAAACACATTAATTTGCATTAATTTAATGTATTCAAAACAAGACTCGACTTTTCTAAACCTTTGAACGATAATAATTGCTGGACGAAGTAAACATCAATGTAAATGAAGCCCGTCTAAATTAGCCAGCTAAATTAACTCTTCTGGGAGCTGTTAAATTAGTTCTCTTTAACCCGATGATCTCTTTGAGCTTTAACTGTTTCGTCGCCATAAAATAAACGTCCCAACTTTATTTGACGAACAGATTACAAATCAAGTCATATCTTACAAGAATAGCTTAGTTATTACACTATGTCTCATGGTAAAACCTGAGCCCGGTATCAATTTACTTTTTGGTTTTGAGGTCCCCAGAGGTCAAAAACACATTAATATATATATTTATTTATAAATAACTTCATGATCAGCATTGTACACGTTATAAAATTTACGGAAAGTAAATAAAAGAAACGTCTTATAACACTTAAAACATATATTTATGCTTATACTGTTACTCACAAGACGGTAAATACACAAAATACCACTTACCATCTTTTTTGTATATTTACCGTCTTGTGAGTAACAGAATAAGATGAATAATCTTACATTCTTAACATAATCTTAATTTTACATTCGTGAACGATTTCACGAAACCTCGCCAAAATTTTGCAATTTCTCCATAAACCATTTTGTAGAGCTCTAAAAAAACAAACAATCTAGTAGATTAAAGCGTGGTTGTATACCTAATGGTCACGGAGAAAATTCCATAAAACTGTGAATTCAAATTTCCAGTGTTATTCTGATGGAAAAAAGTAAGCTATTGTATTTTGCTTTAAGGGACATTCTGATTAAAACTTTGACCAAATTACTTATTTCGTCCTAAGCTATTGCCATTTCACTCAAAACGCACCTTATTTCATTCCCAGTTAAGGCTAAGGTGTCTTTCAAGACGCCGCGACATAAAATGTAGGCATACCTATTTAAATAACATAAATACTATCCAAGTCCCATAATATCATTTAACGGACTTATTTTTATACTAGTGAAATATGGATCGAAACAGTTAGGAATGCCCGCATTAGAAAAAACTACTGTTTAGAACAACTAAACATTAATTTTAAACCCCCGTTGTGCTTCAAGTTCACTATATCAATAACCAAATACAATCCATGTTCCCGAGTGTAAAGATAGTTTTAAAAAACTTGTATGCAGTACGTAAGTACCGTATTTATTCATACAATTTTAATTTAAACACGTAAATTTATTCTCTTCTAATATTTTTCGGACACAAATGCACATTCTTCCTGACAAAATAAAACTCTAATTGAATAGCCTATATTTCTTATCAAAATTATATAATCAAAAAATTGAACTTCTAACTGTATTTTCGGACACAGGGATAACTGAACACAAACAAAAAAACAACATAAAAATAGGGTAGATATTGTTTATGAACAAGGAAAAGCAGGGCCTACTGAGACTGATCTAATTTAGCATAATACTGTAATATAAAAAAATTCAATTCAATTAACTGAGTTAGTTTGCACAAAAATACAGTAAAATGCAGTTGCTAGCAACAGTATATATTTTAGTAAAACAATAATTAGGATAAAAAATTAAAATGAATAATTATAATTATGTGATATCACCGACTCGTTTTATAAAAACTACCGATCATCACATAACCTTTTTATCAATCTATATTCTATAAAAGTCCAAAGTAAACAGCAACAAATATTCTTCAACAAAGTCACAGTGTAATTAGTTTTATCTTAATAATATATTTCTTTTACTTTCATTGAAAATAGAAAATTATATTACTGTACTATTTTTACATAGAAAGCATGTGTACATTTACAGTAATACATTTTTGGACTTTTTGGAAAGTCAAAACGTACCTGAACTGTCAAACGGAAACGCGCGATCTTCCGACTCTACACAACACTACGCGACACAACAAACTGAAAGAAAACTGAACACAAACACAAGTCCTGACTCCTGAACACTGCGACTGCAGCGAGCGGTACACATGTAGTTCCGAGAAGCGCCACCCCAGCAGCACTGTACAGTGAGCTGCAGAAGATAAGACGACATGTAGTTCGAAGATCCGCCGCACTGGCAACACTGTACTATTGAATATGAATTCCCACACTTCAAAATCAAATCAAATAGGTCTGTATTAAAATATTGGGTATTCTTACCTTCATAACGAGATTTTAACTCATTTTCCTATAGGGAATTAGCTATTACTGTACCTTAGGCATTCAATTCAATTCATCTTTATTTATTACAATATTTAGGAACCTACTCCTTTATACCTTAATACCTCCTTCTTTGTCTTTTACCCACAATGTGGGATTGACAGTGTCACTTTACAGGATTACTAATACAAAAAACAATATTTACAACTATTTACATACTTCCGGCAGGCTACAGGCTTCTTAAATCATCCCCTAAATACTCTGAAATATCGTAATAGGCCCGGCTCTTGATGAAAGTGGTTAACACTGCCTCAAATGTTCTCAAAAGTCCATCAACTGGATATGTCGTGGCAGCTTATTGAACAGACTTATGGCTGACACACTATAACTAGCCTGGGTCCTAGATAGTCGCACCCTGGGTACATCAAGCTGATGGCGCTGCCTGGTGTTATACTGGTGGACGTCAACACGAGTGGTGAAGGTTGTTATATTAGCCATAACGTGCACCAGACAGAGAAGTATGTAGTGGCCAACTACAGTAAGCACACCAAGTCGTGCAAAGAGGGGTTTGCAATGAGCACGATACTCACTCCCAGTAATAGTCCTTACTGCACGCTTCTGGAGCCTAAGAACTTCAACAAATCTTTGGCGAGTGTCCCCAGAGAAGAAGACCATAGCTGACATGGCAGTGAAAGAGGGCATGGTACACCATCACCAAATATGCCTCCGTTACACAAAATTTAAGCTTGAAGAGGAGGAAACAGATCCGTGAGAGTCTGTTGGTGGTCTGGTCTATGTGATGTGTCCAGCTGAACTTCCCATCAAGAACAAATCCAAGCAATTAGACTGGATCTTGAACACCAGGCTGATCTCTGGAGAGGCTGCAGATGATGTGCTGCGTCTTATCCTCGTTTAGTTGGAAGCAGTTTGCCAGAAACCAGGCAGTTGTATCTTCAAGACGCCGTCTGGAGATGGCCAAAGCTTGATCGATGTTCGTACCAGCTGATAGGAGAGAAGTGTCGTCTGCAAACATGAGGGTAGTGCCAAGGTTGTCGAGATCGTTGATCATGATGAGAAAAAGGGTAGGCCCAAGCACTGAACCCTGGGGAACACCAAAATCAACTGCCAAAGTGCCGGAGACAGCTCCACCAACTGCAACGACCTGCGAGCGCCGTTCGAGGTGAGTACTCAGGATGGCAAGAGCGGCATCCCTGATCCCATAGAAGTGGAGTTTCCTTTTCAAGATGGAGTGGGAGACACAATCAAATGCTCTACTGATATCACAGAGAGAGCTTGGTGGTTTTCAAATGCATTTTCCACGCTTGCAGCAACTTTTGCAACAGCATCAACGGTTGACCTGCCCTTACGGAAGCCAAACTGCATATTCGAGAAGTCCCTCAAAAAATACTTCAAGCTGGGGTTTTATGGTGGCTTCTACCACCACCACCTTTCCGAAGACAGGTGTTATGGAGATGGGCCGATAGCTATTAAGCCTCTGGTGGTCACCCTTCTTATAAATAGGGACAGTTTTCGAGGTCTTCAGAAAGTCCGGGAAGACGCCACAACTTCCCGGCGTAGAATAGGCCTACAGTATTTCTAAATCCAAGAGTACTACCCCTTTATCCGTGATGTTACTCCTTTTAACAATTTTTATTTTACATTTTTTTAAAGTGGGGTGATATGAACTCTTTCAGGTGCTCCTTTTTTTACGTATACCACAAACTCTGTGTTGCTAACTGGACAGCCATCATCTGCTTCAAATATAGGAGCGTCATTGAAAGTTGGTCGATTGTGTAACGTCTTTTAATGTGTTGTCTGTCAGTAAGTGTCCAGCAATATATGCCCAGCATCAGCACATTCTCACGTTGTTCAGCGGAATTTCTCTTAATACCCGTCCTAAAGTTTTGAAAGAATGGATTTATTTGTTGAAATAGGTTAGATAGGTCTTGAATTAGATTCGGATAACAATTTTCATTTTCTCTTATTGAACAGCGTACATTATTTGCCTCTCCTGAATCATAAAAATAAACTTGACCGTAGAGACTGTATTTCCGAAGGTCCAATTCTGTGATGAACTTGACCATGGAATATATACACACATGGTTCTTCTATTGTGGTTGGTCTAATATTGCAACAAACACTTCCCATAGCAAATGAGTTGTAGAAGCTTCTTATTTTTTACATGAAATGTCTTGATTGTTGGTGACTTCCAGTCAATAAACAACTTTGTATAAGTTTGTGAAACTGGCAACGTAACCTTGCCATTATAAAAGCAAGGAGTAAACAAAACATTTGCCTTTTTTTCTCAATTGAAGTTAAGCGAGTAACAAAACGACATACATTGTTCAATAACTGGGCCTAGTGCTATAATTATCTCTGATTTATATTAGTTTGGCCTATTAAATTATTATACCAATATGTATTATTAGCTGATCTTAATATTACCAAATCCCGCACTAAGCCGCCTCTTTTTCAATTTTCAATTTTAATGCCCCCAGTACACTCTCCCAGAGGCGCCTCGCCGAGTAATTCGGGCGAGTGCTTATGCGAGGTGACCATGTACACTCTCGCTTTGTCTTGCAGTCGAAATGGAAGCGCTTTATGTGCTCGGCTCTTTTGCAGTCTCGGGTCCTTGGCTAAATCAGTTTAATCCACACTATTATAAATACCCCCGCCGCAGCAAACCTACCGACTAAGCGAATTTCCATTTGTCTGAATTGATTTTCAGTTAAATATATTTTAATAACATTAGGTTTAACGAGTACCTAGGTTTGCTGCTACAAGGAAACTAATAAAGTGTGTTTTTGAGTAAAATATTGATAGCTTAGTACAAAATAAATAAATTTGCCAAGTTTGATCAAAATATATCCATAAACAAGCAAACTACAAAATTTGACAATATTCTCCATAAGAATAACATGGGAATTTTAAATTTACAATTTTTTTAATTTTCTCCGATACTAATAACCGTACAAAAATACTTTTATATACTAAATTATTTGTTTAAAAAGGCTCTTAATGGTGGTGTAAATTATTAGCTCTTTAAAAAGGTCTAAAGAGAAATCGGGAAATTTTGTGTTTTGAGGGTCAAAAGTGAGAAAAACCAATTTTTACCCCATAAAACCCCCCGTAAAGCCCCGTTCCCATGGTCCGATCGTGCTGGTTCGCGAACTCATTCAAGTTTATCCCGCTTTACACCTTTAAACCAAATTTCATCAAAATCGGACAAAAATTACTCAAGTTATCGCGTTCACGGACGTATATATATATAAGTCTATATATGATATATATATATATATATACATATATACAAATTTGAACGAATGGTGTTTTTGGCCTCTGGGGACATCAAAATGAAAAAGTAAATCGGTCCCGGGTCTAGGTCTTACCGTGCCACCTACGGTAATAGCTACTTCCCTATAGGGAAATTCGCTAAAATGAGGAGGTGTCTCTGTCTGTCTGGACGTCTGTCACGACTAAAATACAAAACCAATACAGCCAAAATCAACCACAAAGATGGTCCATATATCTGGAACGTCATAGGCTTATTAATGAATTTTACCAATGCATACAAACCCTTTAAGAAGCGCTCTATGTGATCGTTGGCGTGATCATACCAAATAGGTTACTGAATTGATAGTATGTATTATAAAACAAAACTTAAGTATGATTATTATTTTAAATATCATACAATAACTCTAAACTGAAACACTATTTTGTGTTTCATGAACCATAAAATAATAGCAGTACAGTAATAAGATGGATTAAAAACAAAACGCTAAGCTTATTTAAACTCTTAATTTACTTATTTTACAAACACCAAACAAACAATCAGTCTGAAGACAAGTTTTGACAATGCAAGACAGTTATATACAGCAGCCTTGTGAGGTTAACTGCGGTTGTAGCGGTTGCCCCAGCCTCTCTGGTGAGTGTCCTTGTACTCATCCATGGCTCTGGCCCGAGCGAGAGCCTCCTCATCATCAGTCTGCAAAACAGCATTAAAATTAGGTCACTTCAGTCTCATCGTTACTTAAAACAGTGATTTGACAATTCCTGAGAAGTTACTCAGGGTGTCCTTACACCTGCCAGTAAATTTATGAAACTTTCAGTGAATTTCTTGCAATCACAGCAAAATTAATGATCTTATTCAATCAAGGCAACATTTATGATGATTTACCACGATCATAATAACATTTCCCAATTCTTCGAGATCGTAGCAACAAAAACATCCATAATGATTTCTTGCAATCGTGACAACATTGTGATTTTCATGGTCATTTTCTGTGATCAAGGTAACATCCGTGATTATTTACGGCAAAATCCGTTACTTGTGAATTCCAGTGATTGCAGCAGCACTGTGATTATTTCCTGCAACCACGACCAAATCCGTCATGATTTCCCGCGATCGTGGCAACAACGATGTTGGACAGATGTGATGCCCTGCAGCGATCATGTCAATACCTCTGATTATTTCCCACGGTGTGGCAATAACTGTTCTAATATAATTTGCCGCAATCTCACCAAAACCCGTGATGATTTCTTACCATGTCTCGGACATCCATCACTATACTTGCGGTCGTGGCAAAATACGTGGGAATTTCTTGAATCGCGCCAAAATCCAGTATGATTCCCATTTCCGGAGATAATGGTAACATCCGTGATTTCCCGTTATCGCAGCAAAGCCTGTGATGATCGTGGCACAACGTCATTAATCATGGGAATTTCTTGTTCTTTATAAAATTTACACACAATTCACGGATTTTTCCCGGTTATCTGAAT